CCTTAGGTCTTCCTTTTTTTCTTCTTTTTTTTTTTTTAAAAAAAAATGTTTTTTTTTCTGTTTTCTCTAAAAAAATAAGCTAGATAAGATCAACATTTATATGATTGATTATCTTAGTGTGAACCTAGCTAGCCAGCTACTTGAAAATTTATAGTTATCAAGTCAATTGTCCAAGTAACTTGATTGGAGTTATCTTCTATATATTGATTTTTCTATGTATATACAAGATTTGCAATGTTATTTGATTTGATAAATGTGGGCTGAAGTGGATCAAAATAAGTTTCTTTAGTAATTATTGATTGACTTGAAATAATATGTGTGCTAGAAAAATCATATATGTATCGATTGGATGACGCCTAGTTTTGGTCACTCTTAATAGGGCTTCAAGATTTTGATCCTCTGACGGGTTAGATCGCTTTCTTTAAGCCTATAATTAATTTTGTAAAAACACATTAACCCAAAACCACCGTGGAGGGAACCTATTCTCCTTATTGCCATTTCGGCTTTGCTTTATTTGGAGCATAACCAAACACATCCCTTTTTAGCACCAACGTTGTCAATCAAATCAACCAAAGCTGGAATATATATTAAGCCCATAACTGAAATATGTTCTTCCTTAGCTTTCCTGGATTCCTTGCTACCTGTCTGCGTGTTGGATGGGGCCCTCTTCTATGGCAACTTGGTCGCTCAAAATGGTGCCTTCATTTCATCTCCTTCCATTCTTGCTTTCATGTCAAATACTCCCATCACATTTGTTATTATTATTAGTACAATTAAATGTCATATAATATAAATATATAATCAATACTAGTTACACCATGTGTTGTGCTAAATGTCGTGTTTATGACATGGGGCCAACGACAAATTGTTGATTCTATAAATAATTTGATAAGAAAGATTATGAAATTCTGATAAGACCAGAAAAGGAAATGGAAAACGTTTCAATCCATTTGTTTCTACAACTTGTTTCAAATTGGCCAACTTGATAACTTAATATCGAGCCATTGGGAAAATAGAGATGAAAGAAAGAGAAGGAACAATATGGTAAAATTTTGGGGAGCGAGAGAGAAAGTTAAGGAAGATCGAAATCAAAGAGTGTGAGATGCATGTGTACTGATGTAAAGTAAGAAAAAAACTTAAGAATTTTAATTAAGTATTTAACAGTCAAATTTGAGAAAGTAATAAAAAAAATATTATCATTTAGAGATTTGAGATTCGATATTTACAATACCTAATCTTATATTCTATACTATTCTGATCTTAAATATTGAGTTGATTATATTACACTAACGAGATCAATCAAAAGGGTGTGTGTATTATTAATGAATGCACTGTACTAACAACAACATATATAGTCTAGAGGAGAGAGATTGATGCAATTTAAGTAAATTAATTGAAAGATGTGTTCTATCTCAACTAAAAGTCTAAATTGATAGTTTGATTATACATTTATATTTTTATACATATTAATAAGGAAAAATTGTCAAATAAACCCCTAAACTTTACCTGAAAAGCCAATTAGCATTTAAACTTTTAAAAAGTGCAATTACACTCTTTAACGTGTTATATTGAGGCAACAGAGTCCAAAAATTGATAAATGACTATCTATTACAGGTCATTAGGGTTTCGGCATCTATTTTATCCATCTTTTGTGATAACCCGACGGCCGGCGACGATTTGTCTACCAGAGTCGCCTTCCACCGGAGAAGGTCGGTCGCCTTCTCTGGTAGACGGCGTTGTCAGCCACCGGATTGTCGCTGGAGATGGATAAAATTGATATCGGAACCCTAATGACCTATAATAGCATGTCATTTATTGGTTTTTGGACTTCATTATCTCAATATAACATGTTAAAGGGGTGTAATTACACTTTTTAAAAGTTTAGGAGGCTAATTGACTTTTCGGGTAAAGTATGAACTTATTTGACCTTCTTCCCTATTAGCAATGCTAAACAAATCTAATAAATTTAAACTTGGCAAATTGAATAATTGAAAAATATGTTCTGCCTCAACTAACAATTTAAAATAATATATATTGACTTTACATTTATTATTTATATATATGATGCTTAACATGCCTCTCATGTGTCCGGTTCGATTACTTTTGATAGGCCACATGTAATGTGTGTCCGGTTCAATTACTTTTGATAGGCCACACGTATTGAGTGTGTGTGTGCGCACGCACTCTGTTTATTCCATATAGATCTGACTTTAATATCAAATTAAAAAATATGTTTTATCTCGATAATAAATTTAAATTGATAAATGTACCCTGCATTATTTATTTATATATATGATGTTAAACTAGAGTAATAGGCTTTATGTGAAAATTTTACCAAGTGAAATGTGAAAATAATGATTTAAATTTAAATTTGTTAAAACTAATATAATTATCAATTTTAATAAACAAAAATAAAGGGGAAAAAACGGGTACATACATTGTAATATATTGTCCCCAATGCCTTTGAATATTCCCAATTACTTTTAGAAACTTTGGACATATCATTCTCACCGTTTCCCTAGAAAAAAGTCAAAAACTATTAATCGCATGTATACACTCAAAACCATATATTTTACCTAGCTAGAATCCTAGTCATTTTCCTGTCTCACAAAATACCAATCTTTATATCCACAAGAATTCTTTTCTTCTTTTCTTTTATTCTCCTTGTATCTTAAAAGATCATCGATATTCACCGCCATTATTTTATTCTTAAAGCAATTCAAGATTTGTTGTTTAATGGAGACCTGCTCATTTTCACAGTGATGAGACAAATTTTTGTGATTTCTTGTTTTACTTTTTCAACCACCCAATCAAGTAGATGAAATTTTAAGATCTTTTTCTATTTTTTTTTTTTCAACCATCATATGAGCTGATCGGCAAATTCGGACCGGTGAGCATATAATATATATAAATATAAATATCCAATCCAACTATAAGCTTAGGCTTTTAGTTGAGATAGGACACATGTTTCAATTTGGTATCAGAGCCATGTCAAAGGTTAGGGTTTGAATCTCCGCGTCACTCGATAAAAAAGAAAAAAGAGATTATGGTCCAGGTCCAAGTGTTGTTTAAAACCCATAAAAAATAATCGGCTCGCAATGTGATGGGTCGTGTTGAGCATATAATATAATATATATAAACATAGCTCGTCGGTCCGCACACGTGATGGGGCATGTTGAGCATATAATATATCGTGCATAGCTCGACTCGCAAACGTGATGGGGTGTGTTGAGCATATAATATATCGTGCATATATAACTCGACGCGCACACGTGATGGGGCGTGTTGAGCATATAATATATCGTGCATAGCTCGACTCGCACACGTGATGGGGCGTGTTGAGCATATAATATATCGTGCATAGCTTGATGGGGCATGTTAAGCATATAATATATGAGTTCTACTACATAGACTCCCAAAATTATACTCCCTCATTTATACTCCATGAGGTGACAAATCAGGATTGGTTATTTTCATCATGTGGGTCCACAGAAAAGTGTCTACATCAAGAGCGTGTGAGAGAAAGTATAATTTGGGAGTTTAAAATGGAAGTACACCAAGTAATTTCCATAATATATACTCCGTATAAACATTCCGCACAAGTGAAGGGCATGCATAGCCCATCAAAACTTAGGACCATGTAGTCCAGTGATACCACGTACTTCTCTATGTGAGAGGTGATAGGTTCGAGTCTCAGTGAAAGCATTTGATGTAATTGGGTATCCCCTATAACAGAGAAAAAGCTTAGGCTTTTAGTGAATTCTGACCCCCTTTTGAACGTTGTCAAAAGAAATTGATAATTCTTGAAAAAACTTAATTTTAACCCCCAAAGTGTAATTAAATATATAATATAAATATTTATTAAAAAATTTAAAATTATTAAGTATTAAAATTGAAGTCAAACTTTAGTTAAATTAATCAACAAATTAAATTAGAATAAAAGCGTAGGTGTTAAGTATTTTTTATTTATTATTAGGTAATAATAGAAATCCGTAGCTATTATTCGTGAATATATACCTTAGGTAACTATCATTCCTTTGTTGTAGTCAACAATTAAATCATACAAGAAAAGTAAATTACACTATAAAATTTTGTGTGATGGACTCAGCCAAGTATTTACATGTAGTTTCTATTTATAAACTTTATGATGGGTGTGCATAATTAGTTATTCATGCATGCCACATACTTTTTATTTTATTTTATAAATATTCATTATTTTTTACAAAATAATATTTGTTATATACTTTCTCAAACATTTTTTGTTCAAAAATTCTAAGCTCTCATCATAACTACTCATTTGAAATAGTAACCGAGATGTCATCATAGTACAGACATACATATTCACATACTTAATTTTAAGGACACCAGACAATTGAATTCATTTAATTTGTCTATCAAATCAAACCGACACTAGAAATCAAACCGACACTAGAGTTGCCTAAATTCCAATAAATCCATATCCACCGCCTCTCGCATATACCAAAACAATACATATTCATATATACCATGCATATGCTGATATGCATAAAATCCGAGGGGCATTTGGTTAAAATATCATAATCAAAATTGAAAAAGTAAATAATGTTTAATAATTTTGGTATTACTTTTAAAACTGTTTTTATTTTTTTAAAAAAATATATTATATATAGTATCTTTCGTATTGAGTGAGCTTATTATCTCTTTTGTGACATGATTCAAATCGAAAATGAAAGATATTTAGAGCTTGTAGTTGGTTGAAGATGAAGATGCGTAAGTTACAAGGATAAATTAAACAATCGTCCTAGACTCTTCTTTACTACTTTTCACTACATTTTATTTATTGCCTGATTTGAAAAATGTCTAATTATGCTTTCTTTCTTCTGTTTTTGTTTTTGTTTTTGTTTTGTTTTGTTTTGTTTTTTTTTTTTTTTTTTGTTCTTTTTTTGTTTTTGTTTTTTGTTTTTTTCTTTTTTGTTTTTTTTTTTTTTGTTTTTAAGCAAAAGATGTACGTTTATTCAAAGATAAGTAGTTACTAATTATTCTTCCTAATAAGGAAAATACATAGATTATTCAATCTTATCACCAAGCAAACCCAGTTTACCACACAGGAGATGCAAACCAAAGATCATATCTGATGAAATCGACTTAGAGAGTGTTGGGATGAGTGTGTGCACGGGCTAAATTCAGTTTACTGCACTAGGAATATCCTATCTCACTAGCTCGATCGAGATGGTGCTGGCTCGAGTGTGTGCACGAGGTAAACACAGTTTACCACACAAGAGATTTAAACTGCACTAGGAAGATCCTATCTGACAAACTCGATCAAGAATGTGTTAGCCCGAGGTTGTGAGCACCGTTTAAACCTAGTTGACTACACAACATGACTGACATGAGATGTAAATTGCACTAGGAAGATCCCATCTAGTGAGCTCAACCGAGAGGATGTTGGCAAGAATCGCACTCGGGTAAATCTAGTTTACTACACATGATCGAGATATAAAATCGCACTAGCAGGAAGATAGATCCTGTGTGGCAAGCTCATTGTTGACAAGAATCAATTCAAACTCATGATCTTTAAATATAATAATTATACTCTACTCATTCAGCCATCTACCATTCTCAGGGCTTTTGTCTACTTTTTAACTTGATTGAAATGACCTGACTTCCAAATAGTAAATTGAAAATGATAAAACCCGGCCCTCAAATGTGGTCCATCCCCTGGTGCGACAAGAATGCATAGTGTTGACAGACAATTGAAGATAATGGATAAGGAGTAGCAGTGTATTATAACCATGCATGTATGTTTGTACTTTGGAGCAGAATTGAAGACGATTAGAGAGGTTCTGTGTACTGATAGACAAGAACGCAGAGGGTAGAAATATGTCTTGTTGGAGATCAGAAGAGTTGCAAATTAAATTGCAATAAAAATGCATTATTGCTATTTGCAGATGCATGGAGCCTGGATCATATAATTGGATTCACGATTTTCAGGCGATTTTTCCAATTTTGGCCAACAAGGGGGGCCCTGTGCTTTTCATCCGTCCATTTTTTCCATTCCTATCCATTAGTTTTGGTGTAATTGGGAGAGGTACATATGCTCAATCGGTCAATTGTAACATCTGAGACCACCCAAAATTCAAATCTATGTGTACCTATGATAAGTTATTCTTGGGGTAGTTACTTCAAAAGTCTAAATAAAATAGGATCAGAATTCAATTAAATTTAGTCTATTTTGCCGAGATGCAAATACTAGTGTACTGAGGTTCAAACTCATAATCTTCGATCTCATTTAAGAAAGTCACTTCATGTCACTTGACCAAGGTTATTGGCATGCATATACTTTTATAGTTAAATCAACATTAATAACTTAAATACTCAATGCGGGTTTAAATTCAATAAATTTTCCAAATAATTCAAATTAAAATTAATGCAAAGTCTAATAATAATCCCAATCACACTTACAAGACAAAGTTTTTTTTTTTTTTCAAAAAATGGAATAAGGATCAAATAAGTCATTGAACTATATATGAAACTATAATTAGGTCATCGAACTCAAAAAAAAAAAAATGTAATTGGATCTCTGAACAATGCAAAATCATGCAATTGAACCAAAAGTGACTTGTTTACCCATTGATTGCTGACATGGCGGTTACCTGATTAAAAAAAAATTAAATTTTATTTTAATAATTTTAAATAAAAAAATTGTTTTAAAAAACGCACCCACCTCCATAGGCATTCGTCTCTAGGCAGCCTGAAGACGCCTCTTCGTCTCCAACCTGGGGATGAAGGCGGGAAAAGGGGGTGGAGTTCGATGATCTATTTGACCTATGTTTAACAATTAACTATCTCACAATAATTGTGAGATTGAAAAAAAAAAATGTCATTCACCATATTTTGTATGTTTCTTAAGGTAAGTAAAATACATTAGATAATATTATCAAATTTTGGGTTTTGTATATGTTACACATAATTTGAATGTCATTTGAAACAAGGTCTATAATACAAGATAAACACTAGTCCATGGTATAATTTGTGGATTCTTATATCGTGAACCCTGGTCATATACAACGTCGTTTTCGATTTACTTTTTGACCGGTATTGTTTGGTTGTTGAATTCACATTACAGTTTTTTTTTTTATAACTATAAAGCATGTGTATGTGTCTTGTGTTATAAAATTCTGTATCTTAAGTATATCAATTATGTACCTAAAACAAATTACTAGTTGTGTAACACACAACAAATTGTGTGTCTTATGTTGTGAATTTATATCTTGTGTTGTGAAATTTTATGCCTATAGAACATAAATTCTTTACCTAAATCAGATTTGAAAATAAGTCAATATATAACATATGTATGTGTCTTGTGTTGTGAGTTCTTTGTGTCTTGCATTATGAAATTTTATACATTAAAAGTATGAATTTTGTACTTGGAATGGATTAGTAATTGTATAGAAACATGAAAAACGGAAAAACTATATAATCTGTTCAATTTTAAACATAAAACATCGTCATTTTGATTTAGGGTCTACAATGCTATGTGGATCATGGTCCACGATATAAATTGCCATAATTTGCAGGATTCAAGTACCTGTACTAATATCCTAAAAAAAAAAAAAAAAAAAGGAGCGTTATGCTGCGCATCCGTGTGCACCATGCATGGTGCACACAGATGCAAAAATGACGTCGTTTTGACGTCGACTTAAAAAAAAAAATCTATAACTTCATAACTATACATCCAGAATTGCATAACTACACATCCATAACTTCATAACTATACATCCAGAATTGCATAAACTATAAATTCAGAATTGCATGCATAACTACACATCTATAACTTCATAAGTATACATCCAGAATTGCATAACTACACATCCATAACTTCATAACTATAAATCTAGAATTGCATAACTACACATCCATAATTTCATAACTATACATCCAGAATTGCATAACTATACATCCATAACTTCATAACTATAAATCTAGAATTGCATAACTACACCATGCATAATTACACATCCATAACTTCATAACTATAAATCCAGAATTGCATAACTACGCATCCATAATTTCGTACCTAAAAATTCAGAATGAATGAACTAAAAATCTAGAATGAATGAACAACATAATGTTGTTGCTGGGAATCGAAAATAAATTTTTTTTTAAGTGGGACGCGCGTTTTTAGTTAAAACAATGACGTTTTTACATCCGTGTGCACCATGCACGGATGCACAGCATAATTTGCCAAAAGAAGTACATGGACTAATTGGGTCCGAGCTGGGTTGTTTTGGATTGGGCCTAGTTCCGCGGGCTTAATTCTTAAGCATGGATGGCGTTTGCATATTGGGTCGATATTTAATTTAAGGTACCATACCCAAAATATTAATATTGAACTTAATGTGACAATGCTTAAATATAAATAAATTAGAACTTAGACTAAACTTGAAAATATCAGGGTTGTAAAAATCCCGCCTAGGCACCGAGTAATCGGCGCCTAGGCGCTGGGTGCCCATAGGCCGTGGCGATTTCCGCCCTAGGCTCCCGCCTAGGAGATCGGCCGCCTAGCGCCTAATTCAGCCGCCTAGCGCCTAACTCGTACGATTACGCCGAGTTAACTCGTCAATTTCTATCGAGTTAGTCGAGTTAACCCGACCAACTCGACCTTGCTAATTTTTTCCATTTATATGACAAATACATATAATATGACATATATACACTCGTAGATTAGTTTGATACTTTCAATCTTTGGATGATTAAAGTATTTGGGTATTTCATTTGAGTTTTTATTTTTTTTAATATTTTTTTGATGTTATGACTTATGAATTGTCATTATGTCATTTATTTGGATGTGTTATTTGATTGAATGTTGAAAACAGCCTCATTAAAATTGTCAAATTGCAAGTTTGCTACTGTTTTTTTCACGACCGCCTAGCGCCGCCTAGATTCCGCCTAGGCGCCGACTAGGCCGCTTAGGCGCTAGGCGCTGCCAGGGCGCCCGACTAGCGCCCAGCGCCTACTGCAACAATGGAAAATATTACCATATACTTTTGAGAATAAGGGTTCCATTAATTCACTAAAGTTTTTCATTTTCAAATTGTCCACATAAGTGACATAACAAATTAAACAAGACTACTTTATAAAAAAATAAAAAAAAAATTAACAACAAATTAGTCATCTTGTTATTCCCATAATATTTATTCAGCAAACCAAACCACTGGAAGCCGCAAATTATTCTGTGGATTCGGATCCAAATATTTACAATTTACATACTAAATGGTCACAATTTATCTTTTTAAAATTCACAATTTGTATACTACGAACACACAATGTTAACATATATGTAATTGGTTAATTGCCTTTTTTTTTTTTTTTTGTATTCATAAATTCCTTTCAAATACTGCACTCACAAAATAATATCAGATTAAAATTTTATGACCATGTATTGTATTCACAAATTTTTGCTACAATTATTATGTGTTTTGATTTAGAAACATAATTTATATTTTAGAAGTTTACACTTTCAATACTAAAAATACACAATTTATATGTCATTTAAAACCGGGGTCCACCTGATCCATGGTATAACAACTCACATGAAGCTACAAAATTAGAAGGCTTGAGCTAAAAGAGTTATAAATTAAAGTGAAACATTTAGGAAAATTTCGTGGAGACAAAGAAAAGAACAACTTTTCCTTGGCGCTCAAAGATTCTTCACAAAATACAACTCCGGCCAACACACCTTCGATTATGTTCTCTCTGATCTTTTAAAAGGAGTTAGTTACAGATATGACGATGAGCTAGATATATAGGTGTCCGCCATTGATGATATATATACTGATATCCTTCCCCACACAAAAATGTCACCCCCAGATCTTCATCATCACCTCTCACATCAAAACAACAAAAGTTTATCCGAACAAATCCTACAAAGATTAACAAACATTATCCCAACAACGTTGTCATACACGGCCACCTTGGGTCGGCAAATCGGAAACCTATCATCCATAGGGCTAGTGGCCGCCGTGCTCCTCGGCGCAGCCGCTTACTACTACTACTACTACATCGTAGTCACCGCCGACAAGAAAAACAACGGTCGTCATCGTCAGCTGGTGTTCTCGCGGTCGATGTCGGTGGGAGCTCTCCACGGCGGCCAATTTGCCATCCAGAGACTGGTGGAGTACCACGACGCCCGCGCGAACCGAGCGTCGCTTCAATCTGCCGAGGATGCGCTCGATTCTCTGCTCAATGAGGACCGCCCAGATTTCAAGAAACTGCAAGTAAGAATGATATGATATAATATATGTTTGAGTGAATCATATCATATATACATGCATTATTGTATATAAGCAGCAGTGGTTTAATTGGTTTTTGAGTTTTGGAATTTTAATGATGTTTTGAGTGAAAATTATAACGTGTGTAGAGGGTGGTGGGGAGGCTGGAGATGAGTGGGAAAGAGGGGAAGGCGGTGGAGAGACTGGAAGGTGCAGTGAAGAAAGCTGGAATGCAGGGAAAGCCACATGAAGCTTATGAATTTGATATGTTGCTTGTAGAAATGCTCATTTACAAGGTCTGATCTCCCATTTTTCTTAATTAATTTGCATCTTAGAATGTTCCTTAAAAACAATTTTGGATATGGTATGGGTTATCTATTATCGGTTTAGAAATACGTTTCCTAATCGGTTTGAATCGATAAACTATAAACAATCTAGGATAGTTATGCTGTGCATCCGTATGCACCATACACGGTGCACACGAATGCAAAAACGACGTAATTTTATTAAAAACGCGCGTCTCCTTTTAAAAAAAATTCAGGTTCAATTCCCAGCAACAGCATTATGTTGTTTATTCATTCTGGAATTTTAGTTCATAGATTATGAAATTTTAGTTCATTGATTCTGGAATTATAGTTCATCGATTCTGGAATTGTAGTTCATTGATTCTGAAATTTTAGTTCATATATTCTGAAATTTTAGTTCATTCATTCTGGAATTTTTAGTTCATAGATTAAATTCTAGAATTTTTAGTTCATAGATTAGATTCTGGAATTATAGTTCATAGATTATGGAATTATAGTTCATCGATTCTGAAATTATAGTTTATCGATTCTAAAATTTTGATTCATATGTTGTTGCTGGAAATAGAACATAAATTTTTTTTTTTTAAGAAGAGACGCGCGTTTTTAATAAAACAACGTCGTTTTTGCATCCGTATGCACCATGCATTGTGCATACGGATTCACAACATAATTTGCCAACAATCTAGGTTATAATTGTCACATTAGTTATAATAACAGGTGCTAAATATTTAACTATTTGATGTGATTGTTAATTTTTCAGGGTGATTTCAAAAAGGCACTGAGCCGTCCATGCTTAAAAGATGAATCAATCACGGATGCCAGACGTCCACTGTACAAGGTATGGTCAATCCAAAAAGGACATAAACTAAAGAGTATAATTTACAGGACTAAATTATGAGTTTTAAACTCTAAAAAAGACATATTATTTAAGGAATAAGGTTCAAATTGGCCACTGAACATAACCTGGAAATGCAATTAGGCCACTGAACGAAAAAAAAGTGCAATTAGGCCATTGAACACTAAAAAAATGTACAATTAGGCACTGGACTCTCCAAATGTATGCAATTTTACCGGATAGCAGGTTACCATCAATTTTAGCAGGTTACCTGCTTACGTGGCAGCTAAGTTGGCATTTTTAATAATTTTTAAATAATTTTTAATAATTAATTTTAATAATAAATTTTATAAAAAATTGGAAAAAATTAAATAAAAAATAAAATAAAGTCGTTTTTATTTTTAAATTTTTTTTTTAATAAAAATTTATTATTAAAATTTATTAAAAATTAATTAAAATTTATTAAAAATGCCAACTCAGCTGTCACGTAAGCAGATAACCTGCTAAAATTGAAGGTAACCTGCTATCAGGTGAAATTGCACATTTTTGGAGTGTTCAGTGGCCTAATTGCACTTTTTTTTCGTTCAGTGGCCTAATTGCATTTTTAGGTTACATTCAGTGGCCAATTTGAACCTTATTCCATTATTTAATTAATTATATATACCTCGAAATCCAGATTACTGGGTTTAAGCGATTATATTGATCTAACATGCATGGCTTGGTTTTGCAGGCCATGATTCATTTGTTGTTAGAGGATTGTAGTGAAGAAGAAGTGCAAAGGCTATGGAAGGAGTTTAGGAGAATTCAAAAGCATTTCAGGAAGTCGCATTCTTCACAAGCTCCCCAACTTCACGAAGCAGCAAGACATTTCGACACGTTCAAGAACATTGTCATGTCCCTCAAAGATGACATCCGCCACACCACATTATTGAATGCCAACTAGCCTCCAAAATATAAAACTATCAACTCATTTTTATGTATTCATCAAATGAGAATGTAAAACTGGTCAGTTTCTGCATTCCAACTATCAGCTTAAATTTGTAGTTGAGATACAACATATATTTCAATTTGGTATCAGAGTCAACTCCATGGTTCAAATAACCGCATTACCCAATAAAAAAATGAGACTATGGTTCACGTATTGCTTGAAGTTTATTAAAAAGTAATCGGTCCGCACACGTGATGGGCATGTTGAGCATATAATATATTATCATTGTCCATCAAATTAAAAAGTAATCCACTCGCACACGTGAAGGGGCGTGTTGAGCATATATATAATATATAAATATATATGTGCAATCCAACTATGCATACAAAATGGTTGTTGGTGTTGCTCTTGGTAGATTCATTATATTTTGATACACGTTCATTTTGCTCTCATTTTTAATGGGTGTTAGATGACATTATCATTTATGAGACAAAATCAATAGTTGAGACTATTATTTTGGTCAATTTTTTAATCAAATGACCAGCACAAATTAAAGAGTCAATGTTTATTTATGAAGTCACAATTATGCCGCTCGTTCATAAGGTCTTTGACATATACATTATTTGTTTTTTTTAGTGTAATTGGTATTTACTAATACTACGTGGTATAATCAAATACTATACACAATAGAAAAGTCTTAAATTTTCTATTGAGAATATACCTATATATGTACAGCAAAACTTAAATATTAATTTAGTTAAATTGACCAAATAAATTGTAAAAGTGACAACTATACGAGGAATATAAAATAGAGTTTGAACTTTGAAGGAGGACATTTTTGGGATATGTTATGTTATTTAATGTGTATGTTGCAAAATATTAAAATGACGTAAGAATAAAAGTGGGCCAAATTACCAGTTCAGCCACCCATAGACAAAAGAGGAATCCATCAAATTATTGCCACAACAGAATTCAACCTTCGCAGCTGAGATCAATAGGACATCCCACCCCGATACCTGATCCCCGCCGTTGATTGATCGGTCGATCGATCGATACCGGAGCCATGAGCGAAGAAGGAGGGAAGAGCAGAGGCGCTGCCGCCTCCGGCACCGCGCAAGAGCCGCTGGTGACGCCTCCGAACTATTACTACGGCACGTTTCAAGGAGTGGCTAATTATCAAGCTCCGCCGCCTCAGCAGTCTGCGCCGGTCATCGGTTTCCCCCAACCTATTCCTCCCGCCGGCGTCTCCGGCGCCCCTCCTCATTACTATCCCCATGGTTATCAAACCGTTCAAGGTTTGCCGTTTCTCACTCTTACGGTTATTTCTGTATATATGCATCTTAATATAAAGACATATCTTATATGATCGTATGATTTTCTATGATTGTGATATCTGATCTTTGTTTCCTGAAAATAATACTCTGAAAACAAATTATGCCTACCTGAGGGCCATTGATGCTAAACGCAGTGTGCTCCATGGTCTATGTGGTGCAAAAAGTGGCCAAAAATTTTGCCGAAGGTTTGTGATATTCACAACATCATCCGCAGTATTTAGAATGTTCTATGATAATATTCATATGGAGTGAATTCAGTGTTCACTTGGCAATAACTTGACATAGATTCACATTGCCTGCAATTGAAATCCTAACTTAGTCTGAAACCTAAGTGTGGTGTAACCAATCTTGCCCCACATCAGCTCAGGCAGTCACAGTACAGAATATGGTGAAATCTGGTTATACAAGTTTGGAGTGTTTTGCGATTTTCTGTTAGTTGATTGATCACTGGTCAGAGTAGTAGGCAATGCTTATTTATGGGCAGTTGTTCCAATATGATTTGTAAACTTGAGAATGTAGATTAGCTTTAGTAGTTCAAATGAAATGACTCTGAATTGTTAGAATGATGAATCTACAAGAAAGTAGAATTAGGTAGTTGGTATGGAACTTGCTCAGGAAGACAAGGAACATTGGTTTTCTATCTGTTTGGTGATTGAGATCTCAGTGCTATTAGGTTGATTTGGTTTTCTTTGGAGCAAGAGCTTCTTAGATGGTGTGATTGCTTTCAACATGCAATTGATTAATTAGCCTTCTGAATTTTTTTAAAGTTACTTACACTGTCAACAACTATTTTCATAAGCTATTTCCTGTCTTTAGGTATGCACCCTCTCTTTACATTCAAATGATCTTCAGATATTAAAATTAATGCTTTTACCGGATTGCATGTGATATTCTTCATTTTGGCTTCTTTTTTTTTTTTTCCAACATAGGTTATGCTGTTGTTGAAGGTAGACCCTTAAGGGAGCACCGGCTACCCTGCTGTGGTATGGGGCTGGGATGGTTCTTGTAAGTTATCATTATTTTTTTTTATTTTTTTTTTCGTTCATGCTTACTTTCACTTATCCAAGGAGCATATCGACTGCATGCTTAATGACAATGCTAACAGTTTTGACATGAACTTTTGTATCACATCAATTGCAAAAAACTTGAAGCTATGCTTGTATATATTTCTAGTTCAATAAAATATGACCATTGAGGAAGATGACGGTAAACATTACTTCTGAAATTATAAGCCAGTATTGTGTTTGATGTTGGGACTGATTGAATTGGCCTACTTGAAGGAAATTTTTTGATGAAATGAGAACTGAATAGGAAAGTCAATGTTTAAAAGGAGATGGAAATTACAGTAAACATTGAGGGGCAGCATATTTGGGGAAAGCAAATGCAGTAAACTTTCATAGAATAATAAGGATAAACAACTTTTTTATTCCCGAGTACCTCCTCCTAAATCCATCACGAAAACTTGAAGGTGAGAACAAGGAACACTTCAGGGTGCTCCTCAATAGCTCAGAAAAACATTGATTTAGGAAAAACGTATTTGAAGATGCTTTGCCTCTGTACATCATGCTCTTCACCTAATAATTGAGACAACCGATAGAGGTGCAGTAGCCATTACTAGATGTCATGATGTCCATGTTAATATTGGTCTGATTGTTACGCCTCGTTGTTTTGATTAATTAATAATTGATGTGTATGGTTCAATTTCTAATTTTCCCATTGCCAGTGCTCACTATTGAGAATATTCTTTATTTTGTTTTACAAGATTCATTGTTGGTTTCTTTCTTGGTGCCATCCCCTGGTATATCGGAGCTTTTCTGCTTTTGTGTATCCGAATGGACTACAGAGAGAAGCCTGGACTTATTGCATGCACATTAGCTGTAAGTTTGTTCACATCTTTTCAGATATCATCATTCCATTGTGAAAACACGGTGCAATTCAGCACTTTTGCTTACCATCCGCTCAAAGTATATTGTCATTGTTGTGTTCTAATGACTACTTTATTAATGTTCATCTGTTGCCATATTTCCTTATGCTTTTGTTGGTAAACAATGATCTGCACAGGCTATCCTCGCAATGGTAGCTGTTACCCTCGGTGTGACAAAGGCAACTCATTCCTGGTGAAAGGCGCCCGGGCTGCTTAAGTTTTATACATTCCCTTACCATGAAGACGGAGAGCGAAATCTCAGAGGGCATGAAATCTAATAGTTTTGAATCGGTATTCATCTTCTTTTATCTGTATAGCTGCTCTTAATTGGATCTGGATTGGTAATGTTAATGCTTATTTCTGTGCTCTTAAGAATGAAATGCACACTAGTCTTCTTTCCCTCAATCATTCAATCAAGCATCAACAAAGATCTAGCCCTCAACTTTGTTTATTGTGCAGCCCAGCCCTCAACTTTCTATTTTTACATGGCAATAACGATATATTATCAAAAGTGATCACATGACTTGAAATAAACAAGGCTATAGATAAACATGCTTTAAATCTCTCTCCCCCCCGCAACAGCTCTCTAGGGAGGAGATTATTAACAAAAGTAATACATTACAATAGCCGATACTCGAGTACATTGAAGTGAAACGGTTAGGATATCACTTCGAACGGGTCAGTAAACGAGTAAGCTTCATACCTTGTATAACAATAAGTTGCCAACTCAAATAAAATCTGACCTCCAATTCGTCCAGGACAAAGCTCAAGCAAGCGATCTCCGGCACCATGAAGGCAAGTGATGCAATCTGCAGGCGTCGATTGGACATGGCAAAACGCATGACCATAAACGGCTCCATCAGGAGAATTCTCGTATCTGTTGAAATTTTGTGTTTCTGGTGTCAAGAGTTGTAGCTTAGCAAGAACATAGTTTAAGGATGTTTCAAAGTTGCTGTTTGATGGATACTCTTGGCCATTGCATTGGGATGTCTCAAACCCATCAATAGAAGAGGCTTTCTGGCTTCTCACCAAACAACAAAGCCCCAAAAGCAGTAGCAATATTGTCACACCTTTCATCTTGTGCTCTACTTTTTCTTGCTTTCTTGCTTGGCTGTGTGGATTTGAGACTTGCCCCCTCAGTCTGAGTTTAAATAAGATTCGTATTGTGTTGTTTAGTCATAGGTTTTTACGTTGGGCTGTAGTATTATCCACTTTATAAAGAACATGCTTAGTGAGTTAGTGGTATTTCTAATTAGTAACTATGTAACTTTGTCCTTGAATGTTTGACTTGTTGACAAAATGCCGGCCAACGTACGTTTTCTATTGCTCCCAACATCATTGCGTAATTGTTAGTGTTCTTTAATTACAGTATCAATTGATTAATAAGTTGTTTTAATGCAATTAATAAACATTTTTATTAACCAGCTTGGTTGGCGTGAGTGGTGGTGCACTCTCGTCCCTTAAGAGAGGTCGGGAGTTCAAACCCCCTCTCCTATGGTCAGTCCAGTGCGACATTCGTTCATTTATGACGATTAAGGATTGAAAAATATGATAACATTTTTGTAATTATGATAGTGCATTTGAAAATAATTAATAGTGCACTATCATTACAAATGCACTACCAAGCATTTTCAAATGTATTGTCGTAAATTAAAAAAACGTCACTACATTTTTTTCTTAATTTTCAGCTCTCGGTCATCCTAAACAAAAGAATGAAGTTAGAGTGTCAGTTCTCACAAAGACTACTAATTCTCACATGATCCTTAATTTAGGCAATCTCAATTGTGGTAAGAAAATCTATTAAACTAAAATCAATTAGAACAATAAAAGTTTATTTTAAAAATGTAAACCAATTCATCCATAAAATAGATTTAAGAAACCCCACCTCCCC